CTTCACAGTATCCAGTAGATTTAAGGTATGTTTATTATTTTATAAATAATAATTAATATACACAGTAATAATTTACTCAGGTATTAAAGAAATAAAATTGCAAAATTAATTTTAATCGTTATTTTTTTTACGTCAATCATTATTAATTACGTCAATATTACATCAATAATGAAATTTCGAGAGGTTATTTCTCGAATGTTGTAGACTACACGTCTTTTTTTACAGCTCAATTAATTACATGCAGCAAAACTTGTCCGCTGCAACTTTGCTATTAAAAATAACTACGAAAAAAAAATTTGCATAATATTAAATACAATTTAATTGTATTTTATTAATTTTTTTTTAATAATTGTGTAAAAAGGGCAAAGGAACATGTGAACAAGATTGGTTTTAAAGGTAAGTTTGAATATTTTATATGTTTTTGATTTTCATAGAGTAGAAATCCAAAAGATTAACTAAACAAAATGATAAAAGATTAAAAAAAGTAAATGCTATAATACTTTTTTAACTAAATGTTTTTGTATTTACTTAGTTATTTACTAATTACGATAGGTATTCAAAGTTAAACCTTGCGATTTGCATTAATACAATAAAAGTACTTAATATGCGTATATTTATATAACTCAATGATAAATTCCATTGTTAATGTTGCCGATAACATATTTTTCCTTTTAAAAAAAAACAACCACATATCTTTAAACCACTATTTAAACTTCCTATACTAAAACAAAATAACATAACCTATAAAAATCGTTTAACTTCAATTTTATATAAAACTGTCAAATTGAATGAGTTGTCAATCTTGCAATTTGTTTTTTTTTTATTTTATAATAGTGCATAGACATTACGATATACAGCCAAAGTACGGAAATTAAAAGAAGATATTATAATGGAATTATAACGAACTGTCTGGCTGTATACTTTTTTTTAACCATAACCATATTCAGTATTTAAAAAATAATTACAATTGTACTTAATGGATTGTTTGAGAGACCGATGGTCAGTGTATGGTCAGGTGTGAGGTCACCTGTGCTCAAGAATCTTGTTTTGACAGGTGGATTGTCACAGGATAAGTTGGGCCGTGTGCTCGACTGTTCGTAGCCTCTTTGTCTCTTCTATTTATACGAAGTTTCGTATTACACGCGATGCTAATATCGGCACCTGTTCGCACCATGTTTTGGTGCTGTATCAAAAGTGAATTAAAAAAAATATTCTGCTTAATTCTTTTGACTTACGATCCTATTTCTTAATTAGTGTATAGACCCGTGTATTGCTTGATAAATTTAAAACTATAAGTAGATATTGGAATGAAATTCGTAAAGTCAATTCCCCCTGTATGTACGTATAAGTGTATGCAAACATACATATGTTCAATACCAAAGAATCCTTAGCAGTTACGTGGCACGTCGACACAATGGGACGCGTATCCCTTAGGAATTCCTTCAAAATCTGGAAGGGCCTCATCAATATACCGACAAAAAGGAAAGCAAAAACGTATCCAGAAGATTTTTATTTGATGGAATCCGTCCACATAAGCATCATCCACGGTGGAGCGGCTCTCGAGGTGCTCTCAAACGGCCCGAATCGGCAAAAATGTGCATAATTGGCCACGATCGGGAGAAAAAACCCTTCAAAAAGCGACCTCTAAATGTTACGAAAAAGTGCACGAATACAGGGTGAATGCAAACGCTCGCGACGCTTAGGCGGAGTACACACGAATATTATTAATGCTAAATTATTTAATTTCACAAACAAATAAAGAAAGGAGGAAAACGTTAAACTCCTTTGATCCTCAATAGAAAAATTAATGTTAATATAAATAAATGCGAATTTTTATACGGATGGATGGATAGACGTTAGAAAGTATCTCGAAATCGGCTCAATGGAAACTTGATGAAATTTAGCATAGAACATAATCTGGAAGAACACATAGGCTACTAAATAAGTCTCCTTTTTATATCGCGCGGCTGGAGTTCGGGCAACAGCTAGTTAATTAATAACGTCGAGTTCATACCTTTTTGGTTATTTTTCTGCTTCCAAATCACACACACAAAGAACACCATGAAAAACTTTACTTATTTTAGACATTATTAGTTAGAATCCTTTGGCGCGAATGGCGCGCTTTCGTTACAAAGTCAAGTGTCAAATTGATTAGTGAGGGGACATAAACGTCGATATTTTAGTAAGGCTAGTGTTGCGTCGATACACCGGCATGGTGTCGTATTTTCTTCCTAACAGTTAATATTCTGGTCATAGTGTGAACTAACCTTTAGTTCTTTATACTCGTATAGCAATGCATTTCTATCAGAGATTGATTTATTTAAATGCGAAAACTTTTGATCCGCTTCGCCGCGGGCTCGAGAATTATTTGCTTTTGAATGGCAATTATATTTTATTTTATTAAACACATCCCTCGCATGATACTCATGTTTCCGCGAATTTTGGCGGCCGATGATAACTAAACGATTGATTTTTAAACATAAAAATGTATATAACATTTAACATAATTAAGTTTTTTAAATGAGATGGAACTGCGATAGTATTTAATGCTGGCACGCGAAAATATTTATTGTTAAAAAGTAGCTCATTCCTTCCTCAGGTTCTAAACTATGTGTCCGAATTATTTTAAAACGGTTTAGTAGTTTTGGTATAAGACAGACAGTCAGAGTGACTTTCAAATTTATAATAATTTAGTTTTATACGGTGAAGGAAAATATCGTGATGCAAACTGCACATATCTGAGAAGAAATTCAAAGATATGTGTGAAGTCAACCAACCCGCAATTGGCCAGCATGGTTGACTATGGCCTAGTCACCCTCAACTTAGGGTAGGCTCCGAGCCCCTCGGTGGGACGTATAGTGAGCTGATGATGAATAAGTTAATAATAAAGTAAGGGTTGAGTGATTATGAGTTATTTTATTTTTTCCCGCTAATGTCCTATGCTTTGATTTGTTTAGAAAATCATTTAATTACGTATATCTATCGACAATCATATATACAAATTAGAACTAAACATAATACCTGGTTTACATTAAGCCAGTAGATTAGGACAGTAGCACTGTCCTGGCATGGAATGTATGGGCTCAGTGGCGCCAGTTAGTATAAACTTTACAATATGCCACTTGTATGCGAACGCTGACTTTGAATGCTAAGGCCATTACAAAATATGTTTCCTGAAAGACTTGTCACTTGTTTTTGAAAGTACTCCTGTAAAAAAATATTGCACGTTGACTCATTATAAAACCTTCTTTCTTGCACCTCATTTCTCGATTAATCTTACTAATATTATAGCGAATGTTTAGATGGATGTTTGTTTGAAGGTATCTTCGCAACGACTGAACAGATCTCGCTGAAATTTGGCATAATTGTAGAACAGTCTGGAAGAACTCACAGGCTACTACTTAAGTTTTTTTTCAATTCCGCGCGGACTGAGTCGCGGGCGACAGCTAGTCAATTATATTCTTGTAAGTTAGACCACCTGTTAACTATAATTAATAGTTAAAATTGCATATTAGTATACCCAACATCTGCCATCAAAAAAATATCCTTATCTTAAAATAAACCACTAAAAATCGCACTGCGCGCAAAAAATGTCATCTGCATACAACATCTGGTCAGTAAAAAAAAAACAAAAACAGCCTATTACTATGCAGATAATAAAAAACGCGCTAAAAAGTGCATAGAGAACAAATATGTAATACGAACTTTTTTTTACATCGATTATGGCATGTGCCAAACTTCCTCTATTTGGAAAATAAAAAACGGTATTGACTTTTTATTTATGCGATTTATTTAAGCTGTGGACGGTCCCCTCTTGTTTGTGCGTCTGTTTGTTCTCAAACTGTGTAAATAGAGGCTTTTGAGTGGTCAGTATTATTTTAAATTGAGAACATATCCCCTTGCCCGTCGATAGAAAAGCCAACGGCCAAGGCTTGAATGCTTTTAGTTAGTAAAAAATATTGCACATATTCGTTTAGAGTTTTAGAAAAATTCAGGGACGCTCGTTTCCTTGCAAGAGAAGAAAGCAATTTTATAAAATATAATAAATTTTAATATAATCCTTCCTTGTTCATAGTATCACGTAATAACTTAGAAATATAATTTTGTATTATTAAAAAAATCGTACCTTTACATCTGGCGAAACAATTACGTACTAGCCACATGTCGCTACCTCAAATTAATTTCACTGAATCTCATAGAAAGGTACAAATAAAAAAAAAAGTAAAAAACGTAAATGGCACTGATGTTTCCGGAAAAAATGAGAGTCTGCGAGCACGTGCCGTGTGTTTTTTTACATCCCTTACTTTCCCATCTCCGCAAACTGCATATTATAATCCAAACAATTGCTTGCCAAATTAAGAAAAAGTTTTCGACTGTCGACGTTATACTTAGTATGGACATTCTTCTAATATTTCGCTGAATAAAATAGCTAACATATTCTGAAGTATACGGACAGTGTTAAAAAGCGATATTAACTGTTTTTATTCCCAAGAAATGTAAAATCAACGTATAATTACATTATATACTTGTGTACAAAATAAAAGTATAATTTGTATTTTAACAATGTTATCTGGCGATTCTTAACTACAACTATGCCAGAAGATTTTTCCTTTTTAAATCTTAGTAAAGGCAAAATTACCCAATTTAATTCATACATAAAGATACTTCTTTATAAAAACATATTTGTACAATTTGTTTTTTTTTTTAAATTAAAATGCACATATATTATATTTCTTATGTATATCCATACTATGATATCTATCGCATGAACCAGCTAACCGCGGAAGTGCCGCAACATGCCGCCTCTTCCTGTCTTTTTACCTTCCTTGCCAAATTGAGTGCTTTATCAAAAGTTTTTTAATACTTTTTTCTTTACCCTGCAGTAATTTGACGGCTGCTTTTGGCTCGTGCTGTCTCCAGCTGCCGCAACTTTTTCTTTCTCAAACACCATTAATAATTAAAAAAAGAAACTATACTAAAAAACGTCTTTGCTTGATCAGTCATAAGACGCCTTCTGGGCTAGGCCTTCCTCTAAGATCACCAGATGATCTGTCCTGTGCTACCTGCATCCAGGATACACCAGCAACCTTAACCAGATCATTTGTCCATGTTGAGGGAAGGCTGTTCAAAAAGTCATTAATTACACTGATATATAAACACGGCTTAACACTCACGTATATTCGTCCGGTGGCGGCACCGACTAGTTTCGAGCCCATCGGGGGCCCTTCATCAGGATGAGTGGTACTGGTATTATTTCGCGGACGCGGCCCTCAGCTCACTCAAGTCAATAATTAATAAAAATTTACGTTAGACATGTCTTGGAAGATTACAGTCAGGAGATTGTTTAGTACGTACAGTCAGCGTCATATAGATCGTCACAGACAAGATATGCAAATATATAGGTACACCAAAAGTATTCAATTATATCGGTACAACAAAAGTCCTCAAAATAATAGATACATTCACCCTGCTCAAATACATCGGTACATACACAGCGTCAAATATATGAGTACATGCAAAATGCTCATAAATATCGTAGCAGCCACAGCGTCATAAGTAACGAAGCAGTCAAGGTGCGCAAAAATATCGGTACATTTGACAAAATTGAACTCTATCTCTATATACTTGTGATTCAATTTGGAATAAACTACTTCTGCTACATTCATTTGACACTTTGCATCAAACCATTTTTCAAAATTTACTAAAAGTGTTCGTCGCGGATGACAGATATTAGGTAGATAAAACCAACATCAAATTTAAGTTTCTCATCATATATGCTAGTTTGGTCTCGTGGCTTTACCGTTCGCCGCCGTTGGTACGTAAGGTCGGCGCTCAAATCCCAAGCAACTATTTTTTTTTTAAATTTAAGCTTTTTAATTTTAATATCGAAGCACATGTAATTAAACTCTATCGCCGTAGTTATTAGGTACTTTTTGATATTGCCTTGGGCTAATGAGTTTGACCGTTAACTTTTCTTACTTTTCTATTTCAAACAAAAATGAAGGAGATAAAGCCATGCTATTGGCATGTAATTTGTTTATTACTCATGTTTGTTAAACTTGTACCGGTAAAAATATCACGTTACCTTTTACTGATACTGATTATATTTAAGAAACAAAGAAAAAAAAGCTGAATGTCAATATCCAAACTACATCAAATTTTTGGTCGATTGTAATAAACATTCCAGTGTGCGTGGGCGCGCACACATATGTAGATAACACTTGTACGTATAGTTTCCGCGCATACCATTCTTAAAACCCGCAAAGACAATCCACGCTCCGCCCATTCACTTCACCCGCGATGGTCTGACCTAATTGTTGTTAACTTTATTTAAATTTCTTTCTACCCGACAGCGAAAATTATAAAAAAAAAATTGTCGAGCAAAATTTTACATTACCAAATTTTTACTAGTTATGAAAAAATAACCCCGTGATTGATAAAATGATAAAAAAGAAGCCTGAGATTCGAACCGGTAAACTTATTATACATATTACGGCAAACATACTAGAATACTGCGCCAAACAAGTATATATTGTAACAAGGCAAAATTTGATATTAGTTATTACGTATCTGTCATATTCGGCGTGACAAACTTTTATAATATATTTAATCGTTATGACAGGAGAAGAAAAATATTGGGTTGCCCAGTAAGTTCGTGCCGCTTTATAAGGAAAATTGAAACCCTGTTCTCTTAAATTTTTGGAAATGTTTTTAAATTATATTGGTACGACTCTATACCTAAAACGTCTTTTATTATTGGATAAAATTTTAAAAAATAGTTTTCATCTCAACCAATGAAATGAAATTATTCACAATATAGAAATTTTTGTGACGTTTGATAATGGTGGAAATCCGAAAATGAATCCACTTCAGCTACAGTCTATTGTAAGCTTTATATCGAAAATCAGAACGAACTTTCCGGACAACCTATAATGTTAATACAAAGTGTCAAATGAATGTAACAGAAGTAGTTTATTCCAAATTGTATCACAAGTATATAGAGATAGAGTTCAATTTTGTCAAATGTACCGATATTTTTGCGCACCTTGACTGCTTCGTTACTTATGACGCTGTGGCTGCTACGATATTTATGAGCATCTTGCATGTACCCATATATTTGACGCTGTGTATGTACCGATGTATTTGAGCAGGGTGAATGTATCTATTATTTTGAGGACTTTTGTTGTACCGATATAATTGAATACTTTTGGTGTACCTATGTATTTGCATATCTTGTCTGTGACGATCTATATGACGCTGACTGTACTTATTTCGTTTGATGTCGGAGTTGTAGACCTATATAAACATATACAAAACACGGAGATTATGTTAAAAATCGCTTACTTCTTTTAAAACTGAAGAATCTCATAATTACTCGATACATATCACTCCTAGGATAAAAAGGAAAAAACGTATTTTTTTCTTAATGTTACTCCTTTTTATCCCACTTAGTTAATTGGTGAACGTAATAATTCTTACAGAGTTCTCTCTACTAAAAACCTGTACCACATCATTAATTAATTAGTTTCAAGTCACATAAAATAATGGAATATGTATTCAAGGTTTTTAATCCTGGCATTTAGCCAATGCTATTAGCTCCCACAGATACGCAAATCTACTTCCTGTTAAGCCACCAATTACTAACGTATACTTATTAATCGAATGACAGGACTGTCCGTGGGTTTCTGAGACAATAATCTCCGTTTAAAACATACTAGCGGTCATCCATGACTCAGTCCGCACGGAATTAAAAAAAACATAATTAATAGCTTATATGTTCTTCCAGACTATGTTCTATATGTGTGCTAAATTTCATCGAGATCCGTTCAGTCATCCTGGAGATACCTTTTAACATCCATCCATCCAAACATTCGCATTATAATATTGTGAGATTAGTAAGACTGTCTCTGTTATTTCAATAATAGTGATGGGGATGACGATATGTTTTATACAGAGATTTTGGTTTCAGAAACCCACGGTCAGACAGACATAAGAATGAAGTAAAAATGTGATGAAAAATACACGTTTTTAAATAGAATTATATTACTTTTGAATCTCAGAAATCTACAGAATTATACTTTAAAGAATGTCAACATTACTTATTTTATCTTACTAATATTTTTAATGTGAATATTCGAATGGATGGATGGATAGATAGGTGGATGTTCGTTTGTAAGTATCTGCAGAATGCCTGAACGGATCTCGCTGAAATTTGGCATATATATAGAACATAGCCTGGAATAAAGGCTGCTAATTATGTTTTTCTAATTCCGCACAGACGGACGACCAACAGGTTTTTAAAAGAAATATAATGTGTTTATATAGAAAGTTTGAATTTTATAGAGGACGTCTTAGAAATTATTGAATTTAGATATAACGGCTGATAGAGATATATGGAAAAGTAAATGCCAACTCTATATATAAAAACATAGATGATTATGTTGAGTTGATTGTTTTTACGTTGCTGCAATCTACCATTAACAGGTCAAGCGTTTAATAACAATAGATTAGATGCGCCTTTTGTAGAGAGACGTATAAAATGATTGCTCCCTTATATCCATAAAGGTAAATCCATACAAATATAACGTAAAAGTTCTTCCTTATCGCGATATTAGACGATCAATGACGTCATAAACTTTAATACTTTATACAACAATTTCTATAGAAAACTCATATAAAAGATATTGCATAACACATCGTCCATTTTGATTATTATATTTTAATTTATGATCATCAGTTTTTGGTGAACAACTTTCTGCCAAATGGCGTGTTGGGTTCGATGTAAAAAACAGTGCGATCTCGTGCCAGATAATTAAGGCTTTTGAGGAATCATTTTATTAGAGAAAAAAAAAGTTTCGCCTTACCTGCGATATCAAAACTTTAGATGTATACAGCATGTTCAAATATTCACAACTTTTTTACACATTACACAAACATTTAAGAATTAAAAAAAATTTGAAATAATGTAATTTTTAAGAAAGGAATTATTTAAGTGAGTAATTCATTATATTAGCTTCTTATTATGTATTTTGCAACGAATTATGCATTTGCTGAATATGTTGGACATCAAAACTAATAGTACATACTCGAGGCTACGTCATACAGTTTTATGACAAGACAAAGTTAATGTTTTTACTATTAAAGCTATAATTTGTCAAATATTGCTTACATAAAAACATTATACTTGCATAAAATGTCAATACCAATTATGGTATTTTATCTTTATGGCATATAAAACAGGAAAGATTATATACAGCTACTTTTGCGATAGTAAGTAATAAGTCAATGACTAGTTAATTACGAACTACATACGATAGAAATACCTTATTTTAACACACAATTAAAAGTAAATTACTAAACACTAATCTGATTAATTAGTGGATTAGTTGTAAGTCGCTTTTATTTAATAGGTTCATTTCATTTTACTTTTTACTTGAAAAAAAAAGATGATATGTGATGATACAAGTGTAAAACATGAAAATATATAGCTTTTGATCGAAGGATAAATATTACTTAATATATTTTATCTTACTAATATTATAAATGCGAATGTTTAGATGGATGTTTGTTTAAAGGTATCACCAGAACGACTAAACGGATCTCGATAAATTTTGCCATCTATATAGAAAATAGTGTAAAAGAACACATAGACTATTAATTATGTTTTATTTTTAATGTTGCGCGTACAATCTCTTGGGACCGCAAGTGTAAAATAATTTTAATTTATTTCAAAAGAATCATACTGTATACCGCCATCTATACGTCACATACGCTACGTGTTTTAAACTATTCGATATGCGATCTCTAAAAAGCAGTGTTTTTTTATCCGTAGAATGAACACCAAAAGAAATTCTCAATAAAAAAGTTCGATTTCGCAGATGTTGATTTTATAAATTTCTTGCACGTGGTTTTCGGGTTCGTTTTTTTTTAAACCGCTCATGTGTGCGGTCTCATATTGGATACAAAATCGTCTAAAATTGCTTAACTTGCCTTAATTATAAACTGTTTTAGAAGAATGCGAATATAGTTAGCAGTTGTTAGTTTCGTTTATAAATTCTTTGGTTAATGTTTTAACTAATTTATGGAGATTGTGCTTTTTAAAATTAAACGCTTTTGTTATCTATGTCGGTAACATTAAGAAAGGTTTTATGAACTTAGTTATAGTTTTACAGCGTATCCGTAAACGTTATTTTAGATTAACGATAAAATTGCAAATTGTACGAGTAAGGAGTTTCTATAGGTTTAAAAATATTTTAGAATTACAGACATGTGTTTTTCAAATAGTGTCATTAAATAAAATAAAATGAATGAACCATAGAATCTTTAAATTGGTGTAATTGGTGGGCTGACGATTCAATGTACAACTCAAAAAAATCAGTAGCCTATGTGTTCTTCCAGACTATGTCTTATATGCATGCCAATTTTCATTAAACTCCATTCAGTCGTTTTGGTAATACCTTCAAACAAACATCCATCCATCCATTTAAACATTCACATTTATAATATTAGTCAGATTATAAAACAAATTGTATGAATTTAGAAAATTATTGCATTCTTCGAGTTAATAATAGTATAACGACATCTAGCGACCATGTTCTAAAATATTGTTTCATTTGTTTGCATTGCAGTCATCATAGATGATAGCACTCAGTTCATAGATGGCGCTTTTAAGAAAAAGATAACATGTGTTTTATTGTAATGTTTTTTTTATAAAAATGGTCGGTAACAATTTATTTGATGAGATATTTAATATCTTAATAGGATAAAATAGACTATAGTTTATTAGATGGTTGGTCTTTTTTAATAATTCAAATTTAAAATTACGTATAATAACTTTTTTATTAAAATAACAAAATTACATTGAAGTACACAACAGTTCAGGAGGTCAGTGGTGCACTTTATGTCCAATTTGCAGCGTTAATTTTTCGTCGATGACGACACTAAGGCGATTGTAACAAATATTCGTGTACTACGTGTACGTGTGTTGCCTACGGGTTCTACAGCAGAATTACAAAATAAAAACTCATACAAGCAAAGCAATATTATTTATAAGTTTAATAATAAAAATTGCATAAAACATTAAAAGATAAAGTTACGTAATTAAGTTTTCGAACATTGTTATATAAATATTATTATAATTTTCATGTCTATGGCATACAAATTCACCATCAGTCACACATACAGGATGTTCTCCGTTATATACAACTGAATTATATGCAACATTCAAAGCTTTCACTTCACGAAGCAACTCCCTTAAACAGGAACATTGCCATGGATTCTGATTAAAGAAAAAAGTCGATAATTTCCCACCAGAATTCTTTATTTCCAAACAGAAATTATATTCCAAATATGTTATTTTATTATTCGACAAATCAAGATTTTTTATAGTAGTACCTCTAAACATATTTACTGGGATTGTAGACAATTCGTTACTAGATAAATCTACTATACCTAATACTGGTAAATTCCTAAACAAATCGTTAGATATCTTTTTAAATTTATTATCTCTTAATACGATCATTTTTAAATTCCTCAATGGCTTCAATGATTTCTCATTAATATATTCCAAACAATTTTCCGCTAAATTTAATATTTCTAAATTGTCCAAATTGACAAATATTGCACCATTGTCAATCTTACTTATCAAATTTGTAGACAACATTAGATGTTTTAAATTCTTCAAATTAGGTATTGTTGCAAATCTAGGTACTTCTTTTAGGAAACATCTGTCTAAATTTAAAAAGTCCAAGCCACGGAATGCATGTAAAAGATTATCAGGTGATTCGGACATATCATTTCTTGAGAAATCGATAAATTTAATTTCCTTACTCCTATCAAATGTATAAGGATTGATGTCTTTACCCAAAAATGAATTACTAGAAAGATCTATATGTTGTATGTTCTTTAAAGCATCAAAAATGCCTAATTTCAAATGAAATATCGTATTTCCTCTTAAATCTAATAGTTTTAAATTAGGTTTTTGATCGAATAATCCCAATTCGAATTCTGACAATAAATTGTAGGATAGATTTAAATACATAACTTGTTTAGCTCCATCTAAAACACCTAATTTGAGATTTTTTATTTTATTTTCAGCTAAATCTAAATATTCCAAAGCTGGTAGACCATTGAATGATTCCTTTTCTATATCTGATATTCGGCAAGCTTTTAATGTAATACCAGTTGTAATATTATTGTCAGAAACGACACCCCTCTTTAATACGTAGTCACTTTCTCCGGCAGAACAACCAAGGTCCTTCTGACCATTGTCAGATTTGCATGACAGCTTACAGTCGACGATTAAAAATGTAAATATTAAAATAAGAAAGATATTCAACATTTTTGTACCTGTAACAAATTAAAATTAGTGTAAAATAAGAAAGGAGTATTCATTGAGATGACGGAAAATAGATGGATATGTAGGACCAAAAACTGTTGCGTCCACCTTACGTAAGAGTGATAAAACAGACGTTTAAGACTGTGAAATAAGTTTACTTTACTAATTTCTCTTCTAAAAGGTATAACATATAGATATCGCCCTATTTCATAAATTTCTAAGTCTAATTAAAGAAGATTAGAGAAAGTAGATACATTAGAGCAGACATTCCCAAAGTGGGCGAAACGAACCCTTGTGGGCGCTGCAGGTCTCAAGGGGGGGTAAGAGACCCAAAAAGAAAATGGGGGCGTTGTGTAGAGGTTTGGGGGGTGATTTGTAATTTTATTTAGCTAGGAGGCCTCTTAGACAACGAGTGCATGAGCTCTCGACTCTCAACAACAACTTGTGAACATCAACTAATATGAATTAAAAGATTGCTTAAACTGTAATATTTGCTTAAACGCTAAAAAAATATTTATTCTCAAAGTGGGCAGTAGACAAAATAAGTTTGGGAACCACTGGTTTAGAGCAAGGATGGTGAACCATTAATAAGCCACTGGGACAAAATACTTTTGTGAACGTCACTGATTACAAAATTCCTCTGTCTGTGTAAATATTAGGAACACGAAAGATTCCAGTGTATTAAATGTTTACAATAATCATAAAGACACGTCTATGACCTCATTAAACATGTATTAGAAATGGAAAATCTCGTTATATAACATTATAAATTTGATTGTTTAGATGGATGTTTGAAGGTATCTCCAGAACAGCTGAACGAATCTCAATGAAATTTGGCATATATACAGAAAATAGTCTGGAAGAACACATAGGCTACTAATTAATTTTTTAATTACGAGCGGAAGGAGTCGCGGGCAACAGCTATTTGATATACAAAGGTTCGCCATACGGGCACTAGAGTTACTTAGTACTATTTACATATAAATATAATTTCTGGCAAAACTCCAAGTTAACTTTTGAAATCTTAGTAGCAAATATCAAATAAATAACTCACCCTTCTTATAATACAGTTGTAGTTTGTAAATTTGATATATCACTTGAACAACTATTTTTTATAATTATTAATATAGGAATAAGTCTGATTCTGTTCAGGCTTTAAATTCAGAAAACTAATGTATGCGAACCACAGAATACGTTGTGCGCGGTCGTTTTTCCTCACGCAATGAAGTATGCAGTTCTATAGTTACACATGTGATACATAAGTACATCTACTATGTTAGGTTCTATCAGTTTAAAAATATTACTAGCACTTTAGACCTCTTTTAAAATATGGTTTCGGGGAATCCCCTGCTAATAATTTTTACCTTCAAAGTGTATACCTATTGTACCACTTCGTTGGGTATCCTGTGGACCTCTAAAGATCTATCAAGACCTGAAACTCGCTCTACTATCTGACCTTAATTATAAAATTTCAAAATTATTAAACATTTCGCCTGTACATCTGCAGTTCGTCTCTTGTGATCGTATCGGTGTTCCTGCCGCTCGTTTGGCCCCTTCTCTTATTAAAAAAAATTTATCTTACTTCTTGCTAATATTCTATATGCAAATATTCGGATGGATGGATGTTTGTTGGAAAGTATTTCCAGAACGGTTGAAAGGATCCCGCTGAAATTTGGCATTGATCTAGAACATAGTCTGGAAGTACACATAGGCTACTAATTAATCTTTTTCAAATCCACGCAGACGGAGCCGCGGGCGACAGCTAGTAATTAAACAAAAATACATTAATAATTTCAAACACGGAAAAGAAATAGACTTGATAGCCATAAAACGTTGAGGTTAATCTCAAAATAATCTCGAAAAAATCACCATAACCTAAACATATCAGGATCACATAGAAAACAAACGTATTAAACATTGATTTTTTTATTAATACATGTAATTAAACATATAATTATATCTTAACAAGACACACATTAATTAAATTATGTAGGGTATTCAAATATACAGTTGTTACTGTTTTTACAAAGAGAATGAAAGGGATGTCTATATTTTGTACGATTGTTTAAGCAGTGGCTTGCAGTTATAAAGTTCTATCACAAATAAACTTGTCTCTTACAACGCACACTTGATGTTCTCCATCAAAATCATCACCATCATATAAAATATTCATATTTTTAATTTCATTAACCAATTCATTCATACATGCACATTCCCAAGGATTAGGTAGGAAATAAAGCTTAGCTAACGTCACATCAATATTTTGTAATTCCAAACAGAAATTTTTTGGTAAAAATTTTATTTTATTATCTGATAAATTTAAATTCTTCAATGACGTACCTTTAAAACTATCAACTGTAATAGTTTCCAATTGGTTATCGGATAATTCTATGTTTATTAATTTTGGTACATTTTGAAATAGAGTTTCTGGTAAAGTTGTTATTTGGTTGCTTCTTAATATAATACCAACTAGATTCCTTAAAGTTTTAAACGTATTTTCATGTATAAAATCCAAATTATTCTTTGATAAATCTAAAACTTTTAGACTATCTAAATTAATAAATACAGTTGGATCATCAATTCTTTTTATTTGATTTGTAGACAATATTAAATGTTTTAAAGATTTCAAATTAGAAGATGTTGCAAATTTCGGTACAACATTTAGTAAAGTTCGATCCAAATTTAAAGTTTCTAGATTATACAATGCATGTAACAGATTATCTGGAGATTGTGACATATCATTTCTGGAGAAATCCAAAATAGATAGGTTTGGATTCTGATCAAATAGATATGGATTTAGATCTTTACCTACAAATGAATTGGAAGACAAATATAGAGATTTTAATCTCCTAAGTGGATCGAAAATACCTAATTCAAACGATACAATTTTATTTCCTGTTAAATCTAGTGTCGTCAACTTTGTTTTCTGATCGAATAAACCTAATGGAAATTGACTTAACATATTAAATGATAAATTAAGATGCATTACTGCT